TTCGTCAAACTGGTCACCTCCATATGGTTGACCACCGTTGCACCGTAAAGCGCAGCCGTAGCTGCAATGGATATGTTCATCCGGCTGTCGTTGTGTGCGCCATCATAATATACCAGCGCTCCGACCAGGTTCTCCTTCTTCAACATAGGAAAAGCGTCCAACGCCTTGCTCTTGGTCAAAAAGTAGCTAGTCTCAATGCCCTCACTGCCCGCGAGATAGTCGTACAATTTCGTACCGGCCCAAAAATACGGAGCTTGCCACCATTTTTGCAAAGGGATCATGATGGGGAGCCACATAGACAGATGAGGGGCTGTGTCAAGGAAATATTTCCTCTCGCGTAAAGCCTCTTTGACCAAAGCATACTGGTTATAATCTAGCTCCCAGAAAGCCTTTTCGAGGTATCGGACGCCGCCGTGCACAAGTTTCGTGCTCTTACTACTCGTACCAGCAGCAAAGTCATCGCGCTCGACCAGGGCGACCTTGAGGCCACGGGTGGCAGCATCCAGGGCAATGCCTGAACCTGTAGCCCCTCCACCAATGACCAGGAGGTCATACGGTTCGCTAGCTTCTTGCTCCGCAGGTAAGGTTATGTCTCTATCGTCGCCTGTTGCGCCTCTTAACCGGTCGAAACTCTGCCTCAACTGTTGGCGCAGGGGCGTCTCTGTCGCCGCACCCACCAGTCCACCGCTCTTCCTCAGGTCGGCAATCTGGTCGGCGCGAGATTTAACCAAGGGGAATTTTGGAGGGATAATTGTGCCATCTTCTGTTCGCGGAATTGGGACAATGGCGCCCTGGGAGCCAGGAACGTTGATGGGCCGGTAGGAGAGGTACAAGATGGTGCCCCCAACCCCCGCGAGTGCGACGCCGGAATAGAGGAGTGGTTTGAGGAAACGACGGGCGGAAGAGGAGCGACCGGCCGAGGCCATGGCTTTTCTTTTATAGAGGGAGGATAAGTCTCGCGTCAATGCGGATTGCGGGTCAAATGTTTAGTAGGACGGAGTTGCGTGGAGGAAGCGTGACTTCGATGATCGATGAATTCAGTGATTAATGATACATTTCCTGAGCGGCCATGGTCCAAACTCTCGTCAAAGAGGTGGTGAGATGACACCAAGCTATGGCTCGGAGTGATAAAGCCCGTGAGCAATTGAGGCTAAAGTGGTGGGTAGGGCATCAATTTCGAAGCCAAGTCAGGCAGCGAGGTGTCTGAGGATAGAAAGCTGGAAATGAAGCGGGATCGGACTCCCAGGTATGTGGGAAGGATCTTCAGCGTTGTCATGTATGGCAAGAGGCACAAGGGAAGAGTCCCGTGTGTTGCAAAAGGGTGAATGGCTGAGGGCGCTGCGGAGAGGCATGGATGTGGATGAAGCCCACCCACTGCATGGCCATCGTCATGGTTCACAGGGTTCACTGCACCTACCACCGAGGGCGTGCGCGTGGGGGATGCATTTCGGTGTTGGCAGCCCGAATGGGGGGGGCGGCTTTAACCGAGCAGGGCCGTGGTTGATTGGTTTTCCACGCATGACCCTAACCCCCATCCACACGATTGGGCGCCTCCTCGGTGTCTACCCAGTATGGGGGCGAACCCCCTCGGTGCCCCCTAAGCCCCAACCGGCCCAACTTTCCTCATGCCTAGGCAGTTAGGCTCGGCTGGTGGGCTGATACAGAGTCGGCCACTCTACGAGCAGCTGAAGAGCGCAGGTTGAAACATGTGAAGCGCAAGATCGTCCGAGGGACGAGCTCCAGAGAGTGCATGCATGTGGACATATGTACTACTATCAACATCTCCAAGAGCAACCTCGCAACCTTCAGCTTTTGTCAGTCTCGTTTTTGCAGAGTAATCACCCCCATATCAGATGTCATCAATTTCGGGGGTGTGCCCTCAGACTATACAACAAATAATCAAGCCACTTTTTGGAGTTCACCGCGAGGAACCAAACTAACCCCCGTGCCCCTTTTGGGTGTTGATGCAAATGGGTTTTGACTTCAGGAAAACGACCGTCCACTAACGTGAAGACATCCTATGACTTTTCCACGTGCCCATTGACAGCCTCCGCCTTCTTTTCCAACAGGTCAATGTTAATCTTGTTTGCCGCAACACTGCCCGGATTCACCTCCATGTTCAGCTTCGACGGCGTGACGCCTCCATCGGTTGTTGTATTCATGGACGATCTCAACGGGCTGTGAGGGCTGTCGGGGCCATTGTTCAGATTTAAACGCTCCAAAGCCTCGAGTTCCGCTTCAGAAAACTGTCTCAGGTGCTTCGGCTTGAATGGAACTGGTGTAGAAACTCGTGAGGTCAAGAACTGCGGGTTGCGAAGTTAGCCTAATTTCTTCAGATTCCCAGGCAGTTGGCTCCCTTTATGTGGCTGGGCACATACCGAGCTCGCCGCACTCAACAGCGCGATCAAGGATGCCTGGACCACATCCTCATGTATACCCACTCCCCAGACTTTTTCGTTCGAACTGCTGGCCGTACACTCTATATACGTGGCAGCTTTCACTTCCCTTCCTTCACCAATGGCGTGTTCCTTGTAGTCCGCCACGTCGAGGTCAATTCCCAGGGAATGTAAAGCGTTGGCCAGAGAGGAGATGGCACCGTTGCCCACCCCGACAATCGGATGTTGAACACCATCGATGGCGATAATACCTGCAAATTGTCGTTTCGCTGTCGAGGTATTTTGAGCCGGCGCCGTTGTTTGGGGTGGCTGACCGACCGAGATCTTCGTCTGAGGAGCTGGTGACGGTGTTCGCACGGCGGTGATGTTGTAGTCAATGAGAGTGAATCTGGGATTCTTCTTGAGGTGATACGACTCCTCAAAAAGAGCCTGGATTTCTCGAGGAAGCAACTCTCGTCCCTTTGCATCGGCTTCTTTTTGGACAATCCTGCTGAACGCGATCTGTAACCCCCGGGGCAAATCGAGCTCAAGACTGCGTTGGATGATCCAGGCCACCCCTCCTTTACCGGACTGTGAGTTGACTCGGATGACTGCTTCGTATGTACGGCCAATATCCTGAGGATCGAGTGGCAGGTAGGGCAGTTCCCACGGATCCTCTGGGCCGCGACCTTCCTTTTTCCGAAGTTGGAAACCCTTTTTGATGGCATCTTGGTGTGAGCCACTGAAGGCACAGACAACCAACTGGCCACCGTACGGCCACCTCTCATTGACTGGTATCTTTGTCGATTCTTCGCAAACCCGAATGACTTTGTTGATGTCGCTGAAATCGATATTGGGCCAGATACCTTGGGTATATAAGTTGAGCGCCAAGGTCACGAGATCAACATTACCGGTTCGTTCTCCATTGCCGAACAGAGTACCTTCGACTCTGTCAGCGCCCGCCATCTGGGCCAGTTCTGCTGCTGCCACAGCACAGCCCCGGTCATTGTGAGGGTGCACCGAGACACAAAATTTCTCGCGCTCGGTCATGTGCGTGCAGAAATATTCGACCTGGTCCGCAAATATATTGGGCGTGGCCATTTCCACCGTGGCGGGGAGATTAAAAATCAATTTGCTGTCTTCGGTCGGGCCCCATGCCTCTTTTACCGCCTCACAGACTCGCACTGCGAACTCGGGTGATGTATCGGAGAAAGTTTCGGGGCTGAATTCGTAGAGCCATTCCGTTCCCGCCTGACTGGGGTCATCCTTGGTGATGGATCGAGCAAACTTGGTGCATTTGACAGCCAGGGCGAGGGTCTCCTCTTCAGTCATACCAAAGACAATTCTGCGAAAGCATTCGCTGGTAGCGAGGTATAAGTGTAAAATAGCCCTTTTTGCTCCTCTCAAGGACTCGACAGTCCGGCGAATAAAGTCCTCTCGGCAGGGCGACAGGACCTGCAGCCAAACGTCGTCGGGCACCACGCCGGGAGTGTCAACGAGGTATCTCGTAAAATCGTAGTCGGTCTGCGAGGCGGAAGGGAAGGAGACCTCGATTTCCTTATAACCTAATTCAACCAGCATCTTGAAGAAGCGGAGTTTTTGTTCACCGTCCTTCAGTAATAGTCAGTCTCTCTAGCCACAACCGGGGGGAGGGGGGTCTGGATGGGCTTCCATACCATAGGATCGACAAGACTTTGGTTTCCATCTCGCAAGTCAGTGGCCAGCCACCGAGGGGGCTTGTCGTTGGTCCTCGAAGGCCACTGTCGATTAGGCAAGTCAAGAGGTTTGAACTTGCGGTATTTCTTCCATGGCTCACGAAGCCTGGCGCCAGAGTAGTCAGTTTGATGCTGAGAGGTTTGGAAGCCACCCGGACATACATAGGCATTGCTAAAGAACAACTCTTGATCGGATCCCCGCCAAACGGTCACACGGTTCGACGACGGAATTTCTGGGATCTCTGTAGTCGGGAGCGAATGTTTGGCTGGGTGTCGGTCGTAACAGCCAGCTGAGACAGACTTGTTGTTACCAGAGGTAGTCCAAAGCTGAAAGGAACGTCAGGATGGAAGCGAGAACAGCAGCACCTGGGTAGTCAAACGCTGGAGCTGGGATGCGGAGAAAATGAGTCAATCTTTTGCGAAGGGCGCAAGAGGCGAAAGTTTTTTTGAACGTGGGGCACAAAAAGGTCAGAAAGGCCTCGACAGAGGACCAAGACGTGTGACGTGCACACCATCTCCAGGGCTACCAGTACATGCTACTGTAGGCCGAGCTGCCGAATTTGTGGGGTATAAGCAACCACTATCATCACCACTACCAAGTGTGTACGGAGTAGTAAGTATGCATTATGTGCAGAGTACAGAGGCCCAAGAGAGGCCCTGACAAGACCTGACTACGTAACTACCTAGATACCTAGGTACCTATACACCCAGTATCAACCCGCTCTCTCCTTCAGCATACAATCGCTATCGGCTATAAGCAGGCCGAGAGCCAGGCATTCAAACCTCGAGGGTCCCTTACCATTTCGGCGTCAGCCTTGTCATCCTCAGTTGCCCAATCAACGATGCCCAATATGTACTTCTCGACTAATGCTGCTTGCGATATAGGCCATGCTTGTGCTACTCTCCACCTTCACTCTGCTATAACAGCAACGGATCTCTCCGACGAAGTGGCTGATTTCATTTCTTCCTGCTCCTTGTGGTCCCCATCTGACGGCGAGGATGACGAAGAACAGACAATGACCCGAATCGTGTCCTGTATCTTTTCCAAGCCCAGCCCTGGAGAAGTCGAACCTCGCTTACGCTTTGAGCCATTCGAAGCCGATCTTTGACGGTTGATGTTAAGTGAAAGCGATCTCGGCGCGGTTGGCAACCGATTCTTGCCATCAGTACGCACACTCACTTCTCGGGGCAATCTTGGGCTGGTTTGCTCTTTGGCCAGCTGAGCAGTTGGCTCTGAAGCGCTTCTGGAACTCGCTAGCGAACATGTTCGGCGTCGCTGCCGCGGTTCCTGCCAGATCTTTGCCGTGGCGCTATCATTCTCGTCGCCAGTGCCCATGACTCTGGGGGTGTTGAAGTTATCCTTGACCTGAGGAGTCTTCGTTGGTGGCCGAGTGCCTATGCCAGTGGCTGGGCTATGTGATGCACTGAGGGCTTGGAACAATTCTTCTTGACGAGCGGGACTTAGAGCCTGCAGGATCTCTTCGGGATTAGCCTCGTTCATGTGTTTCAGGAAGTTGGCCCGCGGGACGCTGACACCGGACATCTCGGTGTTGACGACGCTGCGATCGGTCTTGCTGGATATATAATCCGGCATGGAGATGTCGTGACTAGTTGACCTCAGTTGCAGTCGCCACTGCTGTATTGCCGTCGGAGTCTGGTGCGAGGAGATAAAGGGGTCATCATCTTGGGTTACCAGCTTAACAGGGACATGACGACCAGGAGACCGACTCTGCAGCACACCAGTGTTGGGGACATTGCTGATCGGGTCGGATTGGAGGTCGGCATGATCCTGTACATCCAGCAACTTTTGATGATATTCATTTGTTGAACGTCTTTTGCTTCGTGACGCTATAGGAGGCAATCGCTGTGGTGAGTGCGAATGAGCTTCGTGGCCCGAAATGCCAGAGACTCGAGACCCGATCGGTAGAGGTCGCGCTGGTTTGTTGGGCAAGATTCTGAACATTTTCGGATTTGGCCAAGCAATTCCCGAGTATTCGAGAACGTCTGATGTGTCTCAGTATGACTGAAGGCGAGCGGAGAGCGATTTCACTGACCTTGAGGGGCGTGCTGAAAGGAGAAGGCGACGACGTCCCGGAGACGGTCAAACCTGGGAGCCGAAGCAGCTGGGGGAGTGTTGTCTCTCATGACTCCTTCTGCAATCACGACCCTGATTCGACCCAGGAGCTCATTGGGTTCCCAGTCGGGTTGCTGAAGGATTTCTTGGTGGAACTTGGGAAATTGAAGAAATTGAGCATCGCGGTCTGCACTGTTAGCCTTCGCGGTGCACGAGGGAGGCGGACAAGGACAACCTGGATCCCCTACAATGCAGTTAGTTAAACAAGTCTGTCAATGCCGCGACAGTTTCGTACCAATGACTTCCGGCCACACATTCTCGTCGAACGTGCGTTGGCTATATGACCCTCAGTTAACCTGAACCAAAGATCAATCCCTGTTGACCTTCTTACGCCACCAGGACTCCGTCGACGTACACCCGGGCTTCAAACAGAATTGTCTCGTCCGGGGTCTTGTAGCTGAGCAAGAGGTGAGATGGCGTGGGCATATCCCAGCTGTGGATGGAGATTCGGAATGCCGCGCCACGTTCGAGGCTCGCAATGAAGGAGGTAAGAATGGGCACCAGTGTCATTGACTCAAAGCTGCTTCGATATTTGTCCGAAGTGCCCTCTCCTGAGGAGACACCCACGTCTGAGCTCATTGGTGAGTATCGTTGTCATCGAAAGGTGTTCAGCACTCACTCTGGCCCAACACGAAGCATTTCGTGTCAAATTCCTGGATTGGAGTCCTTAAATCGCCAGGGAAGAGGAGCACATCCCAGTTCTGGTACCTCATGGCGACTTGAGACGCGTAGTATCAGTTCATGATAAAGTGAAATGGCATAGCACAAGTGGAGCATTAAAGCGTATGCTGCTCGAAGACAGTTTTCCATCTTCCCAGGTCGACATGGTCCTTTGCCTTTTCAGTACAAGAGCAAGCGCGAGGAAGAAGAGAAAGAAGGCGCACGTTTCGGTCCACGATCAAAGAAGTCGCCATCAGCATCGACTGTCGAATAAAGTCTAGCCCAAAATTCAAAGACCCCAAAAGGCAGGATGAAGGTAGGGAAAATCGGGCTGAAAGAGCGCGGAGCTAACCATGCTGTCTCTGTCACCCCAAAGCCACTGTGACGAATGGGAAAACGAAACTGGAATTAAGCGCCTCTCCATCCCTATACCAATGCAACTACATCTCAACCCATGAAGTTATGTCCAAGCAAGTGAAATCATTTTCGTCTGAGCAACGGGTATAGTAATCAACAGAGCCGGTATTTCCAAAAAAGCAGCTCTTTTCGTGCACACGCCCGCCAACCATGCGTGAGCTGCCAGAGATCATCACAACGCCAAAGCATTAGTTAGTAATTGATACAGATCATCACCTGTCAACGGGCCCCTATTCGTTGGTGGTGTCGACCCCAAAGTCTCCTCCTATTCCCATGGCGTTGTCAAAGTTGAATGTGTCCTCGTTGGACGTGTTCAAGAAACTGTCAAAGTCAAAGTTCTCCAAAACATCGCTGTTCTCTAAGCTGCTGAAATCCAAGTTGAAATTCTGGTCCGTGTTGAAGTCGGTGAAAGCATTGGGTTGTGTGAGATCTGGCTGGTGCATTTGTGGTTGATTGGGAGGCATGCCCGCGTTTGGTGGAGGAGCTTGGTTGGGATTCGGCATACCAGCAGCGGCACCCTTGCCGGCCGAATTGTTGAAACCCGGTGGATGTACCGGAGTGATGGGAGTGGAGGGTGTCGGCGTGGCAGGAGGTTCGTTCTCTGAAGATGTTGGGGCAGCAGCTGTCGAACTCTTCTTGGTTGGGCGTTTCTTGGTTCCTTCCTCCTTCGCCTTCTTCTTGGGGTTCTGTTTGTTAGTGGTCGACGGAGTCGGCGGAGCATTGCCGCTCTGCGGAGATCCAGGCTGGTTGCGTTGGGCATTGTTCCCTGCCGGTGCTTGAGGAGGTGGCATCTCGTTTCGTTGCCCAGGAGTACCCATCGGTTGCGGCCCTCCACCCTGAGATGGTTGCTGCACCATTGGCTGGCCACCTTGAAATTGGCCACCCATCCGATTTTGTTGTTGACGGGCCATGTTTCCCTGCATGTCCATGGACGTGGGAGGTCTCATACCTGGAGCACCGGGCACCATCCCTTGATTGTCTTTCATAAACATGTTGGGGTTGAAGTCGGAGCCCTGTATGCCGTTCATGAAGTTCATTCCGCCAGGTGATCTTCCTGCCATATCTCCGGCTGAGGGCGAACCCGGCAAACCTCCTAGCTGTGGTGTGCGCTTCATCTGATCCACCGGGTTGGGTGATGTACCCGTCCGACTGCCTGACGGCGACATGCCACCGGGTGGCATGCCAATCATGGGTCCGCCTGGGCCGCCGTCTCTATTGACGGCGTTGTCTTGCTCTTGTCTCGCCATCATCAATCTCTTTTTGTTCTGCTGTTCAAGGAGCATCAACTGCATTTGATAATCTTGCAGAGCATGGTTCCCAGCTGGACCGGCACCCGGACCGCCTGGCATTTGTTGGCCAGCCATCCTCTGGTTGTACATTTCCATCTGCATATTGCTGTCGAATTGAGGATTCATGCCCTGCATCATAGGAGAACCCGCATTGCCCATGTTCATCATGCCATTAGCCATCCCAGCCTGTTATCGGTTAGTCAATGGGAGACGCTATGCGGAGTTACCAAGTACTTACCTGCATGGGCTTTTGTGGCATGCCCCCGTTTTGTCGGAACTGGGCGTTGTTCATGTTGGGATTGAAAGTGTTCTGGATCATCATGTTCTGAGGTGCCACGTTAGGCATTCCTGGCCGCACATTAGGCATAATGCCACCGTTGAACTGTTGACCTTCGAGTCGTGGTCTCTTGGACGGCGACCCACCATTCTCGCCCTCCGCCGGCGATGAGGCGCGGCCGTTCATGTCCACATCGCCCTGTTCTCGCTGCATCTGTTGTTGCTGTTGCTGCTGAAGCATCTGCTGCTTGAACTGCTGTTGAATTTGTTGGGGGGTACTGGCGAGGCGTGTCAGCAACTTTGTGGGGCTAGGAAAAATGAACAAGACATTCTGTACTCACAACTTGCTCGCCATATTGTTCCCATTTACCACGTTGTTGCGTAAATTAGCCTGCATAGCAAATCGGTTCGCGGTCATCATGCCAGGTCGGGTGAGGTTCTGGTTTTGCTGGTTTTCTCTCATGCGTTGCATGTTCTGTAAAAGGAAAACAAAACGTCAGTTAACTATGGCGAACAAAGGTTTACGACAGAATCGTACCTGATGCTGAATCAAATACTGAGCTGCAGGCCCCATATTACCGCCCTGGCCACCTTGCATCTTGCTAGAACGATGCGCAGTGAACAGGTCCGAAAAGATGCTGAACCATTCGAATAGAAAGCCGATGCCGGGAGTGTTGGCGTCGGTGACATGCAGGGGGCGGGGAAGGTCCTCGGGAATATCGTCTTTTACATCTGTATCCATGGCATCTCCGTCAACACCATTGACTTCAGCATCTTTGCGTCGGCCGGGGCTCTGCTTGACCGGCGGCTTTGTGCGGACTTCGAATTTTTCCTCACGCAGCAGGCTTCGGGCAAGGTCATAGTGGCCAAGCTTGAGGAAGTACTCGTAGATGTAGGTGTTTAACTGAGCCTTCAATTGTTCTGGAGAACTACTCATGTTGACTTGTGTAGCCGGGCTGCCGTTGTTCATCATGATCATTCCACCACCGACAGGCCCTCCTGGTGCCATCGCTGTAGGATTCATGCCGGTCATATTCATGGTAGCCATCGACACTCGTGTCTATTCGAGGAGGCGGGTAGGGCTCGAAGGAGGAGAAAACGGGCGCGTGGAAGAGGAAAGAACCTCAATCGTGGAAGTGTCAAGTCGGTGTGGGTCGCAAGGTAATTGTTCGAGTTGATCGTAACTGGCGTGCGGAGAGAGTCGGTCGCGCAAACCGACAGCGACTTCAGACAATGGCGAAAAGCCTCATTTTCTGGAGGACAGGATCGGGCAAAGGTGCAAGGTAGGCTGATGATGATCGAGGGTTGATGTGGCTGCGACAGATAGAAGTTGGGAAGCGAGAGCCTCAGACAAAACGCGACCGCCACAAATTATGGGATGGGGTGGCTAAGAAACCTGAGAGCGCAAGCAAGTTTGGGGCTGCAGGAGTAAGAAATGCGGCAATCGAGATCCTGTAGCAAGCTGATAGCAGTCCTGAGGTGTCAGGAGAGGAGAGGGAAGCGTAAAGGTGAAAAGTAAAAGTGACCTGATGGGAGATTAGGAAGGTGATAGTAAATGGGTGGTTTAGTAGGTGGTAGCAGGTGGATGTGGGCGAGGCGAAAAGGCAACGAGAAAGGTGAGGTTGGTTTTTGGTATAGAGAGTGCTAAGTGTTTCGGTGCCGGCACGAGGTTTCGGCGTTGGGTGGCTAGGCTGCGCTGTGCAGAACAGAGAACAACCGCCAGCGCAGGCTCGGGGTCCCAAGTAAATTGGAGCACGGGCTGGCTCTGGTGACTCTTCTGTCAGGGCGCAGGCGAGAAGATCGAGAGGGTAGGGGCAGGTAGGAAATGACAGGGACGAGCATCGAGAGGCGGACACGGCAGTCGCAGGCAAAAAAGGCCGCCTATGATTTCTGACTCTGACCACAGCCCGACCACTCACAGACCGTTCTGCGTCAGCCCTACCGACTCCTTCTGCGAAGATTGCAGCACGCCTTGCCCAAAATGGGGCTACCAATGGTGGGGTGCTTGGCCTTGCACCACAACCTCACCTCAACCGCTTTCTTCCACCTCGACGAGTTTCTATGTAGCAAACATTTCAAAAATTCCACGCCCGGCTGAAGGCGGTCAACCAGGAAATAATACAGATCCTATTTGCCACATCGAACGATTTGCTTGCTGCATCGCCTCAATATGTTCAAAGACGCGACCCCTGCTCCTTCATTGGCTGCTGAAACTGCCTCAGGGGGTAATAGTGAATCCTTCCCCAACTATCATACAAGTAAGTCGATAGGCAGATAAACTAGGTCCCCTGACCATGGAGAAAAGGGGTTTCGACCACGTGACATCCGAACCAATGGATGCAGGCCCAGATTGTCTTCTGCTGGGTTCGTGCAATCCCTTGTAGCTTTGTTTGCAGGTGATAAAATTGCTCCATACAAAGCGCCGGGTGGTACCTATTCGTCGTCGGGAGGCATCTCGTCCTCAATGTATCGAATCAGGGTGACCCGCATTTCCGTCACGTCATTGCCTCGAAGGATGTCACTGACAAAACGGGCCTCGATGGACATCTGGACCTAAGAATCCGTCAGAACAGACTTCCATGGACCATACCACACACGCTCTATACCATTTCCAATGCCCCACGTAGGACGCCGCAGAGGATGTTGGAGAACCACAACTCATCTTGAGCTCGCCCGTCATCGGGAAGCTCCACAAAGTCTGCCAAAGGGTTTTCGTCGAACAACAATGAAAATTGTTTGTTATCCGCCGTCCAATTCGTGACAGTGGGGGTAATGTTGAGAAAGATCTTGAAGCCGACCTTTTTAAGAGTCAGGAGACTATTCTAGGATAGTCGAGTTAATGGCTTTACCTTGGAGATCATCTCCGCTGTGTCCCTGAAATTCCCACAGCGGCCAGTATTGGATTTTGCAAGGAAATCCTCAATGAGTCGCATGCCGATATTATACCCCATTTTATCCAGCTGTTGGTTGACCTGGGTGTAATCATAGTCATAGTCGTTGCAGAGCTGGGCAACAATTGTCCCATAAGTAAGGGTGACAAGCTCAGCATTGACTTTGTCCACTCGCGTCCTAAGAATTTTAAGAACCCCGCTGCCATTGACTCGGGGGGAATACTCACTTCCAGATTCTGGTGTAGCCATGGTCAGCAGGTAAACACTAGGGCATATTTGAGGACCGCTTACTCTTCGCCCACGCGGGCGGCCTTCTGGCTCGACGCCATTCAAATCAGGGATGACTGTTCTACCGATAACTGCACATTTCACCGCAATTCTATCGTATCCCGAAGAAAGACTGTCCGAGGGATTAGAGAGCAGTCAGCTAATATCATGGTGGATACAAGGCCGAGTTCGCGAGTCGATACTGCGTAACTAATATGCCAAGACCTTAGCCTTTCGGATAAACCAATACTCCGACCTCCGAACCGAAAGTTTCTGGTTTGCTGTCCTGCGAAAGTGTCGAAACTGCAAATAGTTCATAGATCATTGTTCCCCTTCGTTTGCTTCTTACCCTCTCATGCTTCCCTCTTGACCCACTTCATCATGATGCCGTCCATAAAGAGACAAGCTTCCGAGAGCTTCAGCCAGCCGCAGGCATTGGTCAAGAGGCAGAAGTCCAGTTCAGATCTAAACCACAACAAGGCCGTTACCGTTGGCGCAAAAGACCAAAATGGCACTCTCGTGCCCTCTGTACGTTTTTGGGTCGGCCGATTGAGTTGATATGCTAACAGCCTCTGACAGGCACTTCGTACCAGCGGACTAGCTGCTCCCATTATGGAGTTAGCCGGACATTCTGGGGAGGTTTTCGCAACCAGATTCGATCCCACCGGTCAACATATTGCTTCTGGGTCCATGGACCGATCAATAATGCTTTGGAATACGTATGGACAGTGTGACAACTATGGAATCATGACTGGTCACAAGGGTGCTGTTTTGGATTTGCAATGGTCGCGCGATTCAAGAACCATATACTCCGCGTCTGCTGACATGACTATTGCGAGCTGGGACCTCGAGACAGGTTTGAGGATACGCAAACACGTTGGCCATGAGGAGGTTGTAAATTGCCTGGACCTAAGCAGACGTGGTCAAGACCTGTTACTCAGCGGGAGCGATGACGGGTGCATCGGGATATGGGACCCTCGCCAAAAGGCGGCAGTCGATTACATCGAAACAGACTTCCCCATCACAGCGGTAGCTATGGCAGAGCAGGGCCATGAGATCTACTCGGGTGGTATTGACAACGATGTCAAGGTCTGGGATGCTCGCAAGATGGAAGTAACCTACTCGCTGAGTGGCCACCAAGATACGATCACCTCGTTGGAAGTTTCACCCGACTCGCAAACATTACTGTCAAATTCGCACGACTCTACCGTGCGGACTTGGGACATAAGACCCTTTGCTCCAGTCGATCGTGCTGTACACACTTATGACGGGGCGCCATCGGGGTTTGAAAAGAACCTGATACGAGCGAGCTGGAGTCCTAAAGGAGACAAGATTTGCGCTGGTTCTGGTGATCGGACAGTAGTGATCTGGGACACTCGATCCGCGAAATTACTCTATAAGCTCCCTGGGCATAAAGGAACGGTGAATGATGTACGGTTTTCGCCCACCGAAGAAACAATCAGTAAGTGACCTTGATGTGGAAAATCTGAGTGGCGCTAACCCATTCAGTCGTTTCTGGCTCGACAGATCGAAATCTCATTCTCGGCGAGTTAGGAAGGTGACGATTCTGAATGACTGTCGTATAGAGAGGCCTCTGAACACATGTCATCGGGATGAGCAGTCATCCTTCCGTTATTGGATCCGGCTTCTACATTTAGAGCACCCCCTTTGGATCTTCAGCGGCATCGTGTCATGGACGAAAGAGCTGCATCTGACAATCAATCCGGGTCAGGTTCGAGCAGCCAATCTCGCCGATACATTTGTGATTTTCACGGCATGTATCCCATCAAGAAGCACATGCTATCCTAGCATCTTTGCTGATATTGATACACAGCTCCACATAGAGAGGTCACGCAATCCCCAGGCGCAATCCTTCGGTGGTGTTGTCAATGGCTCTTAAACGCAGATTGACTCCATATCCTCAGGAGACTAGCCTCGAGATCTTCACCCCTCGCTCATCGTATGTTATATACGAGGGACGGCGACACCGAGTTCCAATATTAAAATAGAAGTTCCTCGGTAACGGTCATAGTGCATCCTTTCTCGGGACCCTGACCTTATCCTTTTGCCTTCCGAATCTCTCGAATTGGTCACGTACGTACCAGCGCCTCTCGGAGCGGCAGTACCTCGTGGTCCTAGCCGAAGAAGAAAAAAGACAAGGACTTGGCAGAGATTGTTCCATATTCTCTTGTCTTGCTCACTATTCTCCGTCCAAACTGGCAAGATTGGTATTCCGTGTGCATACCGTGGCTTCCAACAAGAAGGTCATTGGTTTGTCTTGCAGCTGGCTATTTAAGAAGTGGAAGAGAGGAAGGACCTCGAGTATCTCTGGAGTGAAGCTGTCAACTGGATACCAGCATTGATGGCAAAAGCGGATGGCGTCCTTGGGCTCAGCCTTCTAGTTCGACGCTCGCGAGCTGAGAAGTTTTGTAGAAGGGAGTGGATCGGTACAATGCCGCAGATCAAAAGGAAGGAGAGTGAAACGAGATTCAAAAAAAAAAGCCGTCGGCGTGGCAGAGCTGGGACAAGAAGCAGACAAATTAGGCAAGGAATCAAAGTCAATTCAAATACTTCGTTGACTCGCCAGCGCCAGCCAAATCGGATCATACTTCTCCCCAATTCCACCAGAAATGGCCCTAACGTCTAACACATTGCACAAGAGTACAGAACTTCGCTATACCTAGCAACCAAACAGGAAACCGTCTTCAGAATACCTAAAAGTCAACCTTGGCTCTATTTCACCTGCAGCTCAGCTCATAACTTGCGTAACTTCCTTTAACTACGCCTCGTTGGGACAATTTACAACCATAATATACAGCACATCCGACCTCATCAGTCCCTTGATTCCCCCTTGCGGAGCTCTCCTATTCATTCCAGTGGTATCATAGCGCGACTCGCGGCCCCTTGCAACGCATCTTCCAGCCTTGTACTGACGTTTCCGTGCCCTTCTTTCGGCCTTTACTCGGTCAGCATCTGTCGTGTCGATTTTTCCACCACTCAGCAAGGCAATCAAACTGCCACTGTTGGCTGGATTGGTTTGGGTCGCTGAGGTGAGACGCAAAGTGCCTTTCTTGATACACATTTAATTTGAAACCAGGGTTCGCCTTTTCAAAGTTGGCTTGGGCCCTGCGATCAAAATAGTCGCCGAGTCTCTTGCCGCTGCGCTTGAATGCGTTTCTCCTTCTCGCTCTCTGGTAGAGCGTCCAGCTCCGAGAAGATAAGAGGGGCGGACTCGGGGATCTCGATTTCTCTTGAAGAACCTGCCGCATTGGCAAATCGACTTCCACGGCCAGAGTCTCTAGTTGCGATCGAAGTCACCACATGGGTATTCATATCCACATGCTGTACTAAATCGTCGGACTCGGGTTTGTACGCCATGACCAAGGCATAGAGACCCCGGGGCTTGAAGAAGCTCTCCTTCATGTTGTCCAGATACTTGTTTGACTCATATTTCACGTATTGTCTCCTAGACAGCTCAACACTTTGTATGGACGACCATGGCACCGACGAGGACGAAAAACATGGTGCCAACGGCGATGTCGGTGGCAAGGACTGCTCTGGCCCAGGCCAGATTGAATGCATGGAAAGCTGGCTGAAGCTAATGGACGACTCAAAGTCAGCGTGCATACTCACAGCATCGATGAGGAGGAACTGAGGCTATACCTGAAGAGCTTCTATACCTGAAGAGCTTTTCCGAAGCCATCCAAAAAGTCAAGAAACTCTACCTGCTCGACGCCGCATGTTCGGAGCATCGGCGCGTATGCGCGAATAAAGCCTCGTTCTTTGCTCTTTGGCCGACGCTGAGGCAGGATGACGGGCATTTCCAGTTTTCCGGCAACTGGTGAGTACTTGGGAGGTGGGTGGATCTTTATGAAAGCATCCATCACTTCGTCGATGTCGCGAGCGTTCTCTAAGCTGCATGTCTTTGGGTTCTTGGGCGATTTCCTGCTGAACCTCGTCAAGTTCTTATGCCACTTCCTCGCCGTCAGATGATTCGACTGAGGAGGTTTCTGAAACCTCGGCTTCGTCCTTAGTTGGGGAAGGGTCCTGCAGATGAAACTGAGCTGCAGTCTTTTTGGTGTCATGGTCGGCCATTGCCTCTCGCGCAAGGCCATATGCGCCGGTCACACCTCTCCCCAGCAGCTTGATGGGAAACATTTCGAACCTTCTTCAAAGAATTGCAAAAGCACCTAGGTCTAGTTTCTCTACGGACAACGTTAAAAGGATTTTGTTGCTTCGATATGGAGGATGTTGACTGACACGCGACCGTTTCAACGCTGCATGCTGGCCCTCATTATATACACTTTCGAGTCTCACCAGCGAAGGACAGCCTATTGAACCCGTATATCAAAAGAAGCGCACGAGGGGCACTGAAGTTCACCGTGAGGCAGTGCCTTCTCGAGGAATACTCCAGTCTAGGCCCTACGGTAACTCCCACGCCTTGCGAAATCGCGGAGATTTCCCCATTAATATATGGTCTGAGGCGTCTTTGGCCATTGAGCGTTGCAGCTCGGCACAGGCGAGCCGATGCAAGGGAAAAGCTTCTTCTCGTCATTGGCGAAGGATTGGGACTATTTCGCGAGACGCACGAGGTGGGATCAGGAGGGAGTTGGCAAGCGTCATAGGTGTGCCATGTCGCCCATTTCTGGCCACTCCTGGGGATGCCGTGCGATTTTAGGGGGACTGCGGCACATCCGCAGTTACTTGGTTAGCCCGGGGAATCAAGGAGGGATGCACTACTGGTAACAAGTAGAGGCATCTAGAGGGACGCCCACAGACAAGTATAGGGTCGCCTGGTGAGGAGCTACCAGGCTGACTAAGGCAACTCACTAGCTTGTGACCACCGCGGTCCTTCTTCCTGCGGTAACACGACCGCATGGCGTTTCAGAACGCGTCCTCTTTCGAACCATCCTGTCGACCTGCTTCCCCCTCCCACTCTCTCGGTGACATCGCGGTCGGCCGGTTCTCCTTGTTTGTGACTCGTCTCCTACTCGATGTGAACAGAAATGACAGCCTGTCAAGCCGTCTATCTCTCGCACTCGAACGGGTTCCAATGTTTCACTCTCATCAACTAGAACAACATTCCACAACCAATTCCTCGCTCCTTGCTCCATTGAAAGAAAGAACATCGCGCAATATGGGTGTTCTCTTATGGCAATCACTGGTCAAAAAGATGGCCGTGTTTCTGAGACTCAAGTCCCGACGCGGCACGTGTATTCACTCTTATGTTGTGTTGCTCCCCTTTCTGTCTCGCCGTGTTCCATGGTGGTAAAATCCACTGCATTTCTCCTCCATCGCTGTCTCTCATGTCGACCTTTTCTCATCCTCTCCGCGAAGGGCAATTTGCGTGAATTTGCAAGAAAAAGGAACAAGACTAGAGCATAACTTCTGCGGCAATGGAAGAGACACACAACCCACACAACCCGTGCTCCCAACCAACGTACGTTCCAGCACCGAGGGATCTGCGGAAGAGCGCCGTGAGCAGCATGTCGCGTCTGTGGAGATCAAATCAAGCCCCGAGCAGCACTGCTACTTCACCGAATTCCGCTGGGAAGACTTTCGTTGTTCCTCTCTTCCTGGCCACGTCCCGTCGGTCGGCCCAAAACGAAGTGTTCACTCGCGGTGCATTGCCTGCCAGCACAAGGTCTAGAACTTCAACATGTTCAGTTACAGAAAATGCGCCCTCCAGGGTTGGAGATGTTCCACCACCGTCAGTTCCAAGAGATAACGAAGATGAGCAGTCCGACATGTACGCAGGGAGCTTGCGCGAGCAGCCATCTATCAGTGAGTCGACTATTGAACCTGTACCACTGGCGCGAAATATGGACGATGAACCGACCCCTTCTGAACGTCAAGCCATGCGATCGTACCGAAATGGCAGCACCACCAGCAGCCATTCCTCGAAGCGCAGCAGCAGAAGGCATGGGATCTTCTCCAAGAAATCATATCGTGACCCAGATGTCAACGCAAAGGCAAGAATCAGCTTCGCATTTGGTGTCACTTTGTTGGTTGCTGTAATCATCTGTAAGTGGGAGCCATCAAACTTCACGGATGTAGCTGATACATCCAGACTTGGTTCTTGCGGCTACCGGCGTCGGCAAGAACACTATGTTTCATGCCCTCTCGATCCTTCTGATCTTGACCTTGACCGGGGTCTTCATCCATCAGCTCATCCGCATGTTCATGCTCATGCGACGACCGAGGAGGTCAAGACATCGGACAACACATGGGACTCGGCGCCCGCATGCGACGAGACAGACTAGAGGTCAACGTGATGGCAGAGGGAGACGAAATCAGCAGATTGACGAGCTGGTTCTTGAAAAGCCCATCCAGATACACATGGCCGAGGATGCTGGTTTTGGCCCAGATGTTGAAAGTCAAGCAGCGATCCGACCTCCCCCGCCTGTGTATGGTAACACTCGAACAAGCATGGTAAGTATCCGAAGGAAATAACTGTCATAGGTGGGATTAACACTGTTTGGCAGAGACTGAACCCAGACTTGGTCCACTGGAAGGAAGTACAAGTACCGCCCACACCTCTAACACCCACCTACGAAGAGGCATTGAACCAAGTACATCAGACTGTCGGATATCGACCACCGAGCTACTTGTCGGAGAGTGGCACGACTGATGCGATGGAGACTCGGACTAGGGACGTTGACGCTGCTCTTGAACATATCCATCCACTGGAGCGTGATCGGTTGCGTAGGTTGACGGCTGCTGCGCTTGAGGGCCGCAACAACGGTCTGGCCTAGTCACCAATAACGGGATACCATGCGTCTGTGGACAGGACTGGTCCACCCAGCAAGTGCATTGACCAAAGACGGAATTTTAGTGATGGATTACCATGTTATCTATTCACATTATGTGGCCCTTGGAGACATGTTTGGACATTTCACGCCTCAACACGAGGCCAATTGGGGTATCTTGACGTCCATCTTTGGTTTCCTCCTGGTTCGAATCATGTCATCTCATCATCATCATTTGTCGGCGGGAAGAGAAACTAGTGCTTGGCAGCCTCCTTATGAACATCGGCTTGACGGTTGTGTTTCTGCTCATCGAACTTGTCCGAGATGGCATCACCAGCTGCCTGAGCACGAGTGCCAAGGCTGGCATTGTCGTCCTTGGCGACGTTCTTGTTGGCCTCCTTGGAAGCGGTGGAGGCGGAGCCGGCAAGGGACTCCTTGACGTAGTTGGCAGTGTTCCTGAAAGTGAAAGGTCAGTTAGTCACTATGGAGGCAGGATTGAGAGTTGTATGGAGCAGGACCGCTTACTTAATGTTATCCATTGCAATAAACAGTGGTGGGTATGTGTGGTTTTGAATTCTGATCTGTTCCGCGGTTCTCTTGTCGCTGAAAGTATTGTTGATCAAAAGGGTATAATCCACGAAGGACTTGCCAGTGTTTATATAGACGCCTAGAAGGGCCCTCGGCGGAGGAACAATGAAGATGACGATCAGCTGGCCATCCTTTGATCTGCTCCCAAGATCGAAGCATAGGTATAGTAGAGAGTATAGGCCAATACGTCATGGGCAGATTCTAATGACGCCAATGACGTCTCACCACCAATCAGCAACGAGGGCGAGGCAATGCACGTGACTGTTCCTGGAACCAGGGCCTTGGCAGACCCATTGGGCGCTTCCTTTCTCATTCCTTCTCGATCTCCAACGCCGCTTTGTGCTCTGGGGGCAACTTTCAGCACTGCCACAGCTGCAGATCGGCTGTTGCTTGACCACGTCGATCGGATCTCGATCAATCGATTTGTATAGAGTGCCACATACTAACCTAGGTATGTACAAGGAGGGGCTCAATCTGACTCCCTCGGTCATCAGCGACACCTGCTTGGATCAACTAATCCCCGCGCTTACAGACCCTTCTATCGCGACCAACAATGGTACCTATTCTGAAGCCCACATGTCTTCGCGGAATGAAGTACTTGTAGACAGAAGTCATTGTTACGTCCAGAAACAGAAGATGGTGACATCAAATGCAACTTCCCACTCAAGCGTTTTTGAGCCCTCTGATCTCGTCGAGTTGTTTGGCGCTCGACCTACAAGAAAACCTCGATCGTAATTACTAGGTGATGTTATCGCGCTGGCTCAAATATCACCCGTATTCTTCGCGAGATCTAAACGATAGGTAGGAAAGCCCTCACGCCTTCTTTTTGTCAGAAAGCCCCGGTCCTGAAGCACTACAGTACAGAATACTTCAGGGCCTTCATCGACTACCGTTCATTCAGTTAGCTCACTTCAGATCCAGCCCTGCCGCACCCCAACAAATACAAGGTGATACGAATTCGCAGAAGAAGTGCCGAACCAATCTCGTTGCTGCCCAGACAAGTCCACATACGACAACGAACTCGAAACAAGCACTTCGATCTTTAGGGTCGTCTCGCAAGCTTTGGAAGTGCGCGACAGCAACCGCTAGCAAGGCTCTTAAATTTGTGGTGTGACAGAGATATATTCGACCACTCCGAACAACCGGAGCTGAACAACCGACAGCTGGGGTGATGCTCTGCTGCGGCTATTTTAACGGATCTATCACTGACCGCTCCAGTTGATGTCAAGCGATCATCGGATTTATCCATGTTGTGAATAACAGTGCTGCATGTTTGTCTACTATAATGACAGCCCGTGGCACCACAAAACGGCCCGTATTCCTGCCAAGCCTCTCCAAATGGTTGTCATTCCACGCCATATTAATAACAGTCACCGATATCAACCCACAACTGATTCTATCCTCCCGCCCTCTTCGAAAAAAAATAGGTCACGAAAAGTCCGGTATAAGGCGGTACCGGCATTAACGCACGACGCACAAAATCTATCCGGAATATCCTAAATGCACAACATGCATAAGCTCTTCGCAAATTGTCAGTAGGTGCCTTTGTGAATCTCCAGAATTCATCGATAGATTGGCTGCTTGTGGTGTGATATCTCCAAGTCCAAAGTTCTTCTTCCTCAAAAATGGAGGCAATATGTTTCTTTTCATCTCCCTCGGTCAATCATCAACATGGCCTTTGTAGGAAACTTTGTTACCAATTACGATCGCACCTTAAATGCTGAAGGGCCTGGCACTCCCTCGGGATTCCAGCGACGCGATGAGATCGAGGATCAAACCACCCTTCCTGGCCGTCGTCAGCGTGGGATAGGAGAACAATCCAAGCAAGCTGTTGACGGGGACAGTTTGAAAACTCCTTCTTCCTTGCCTCCAAGTCGGCTCGGCGGGGATGAAGCTACCAACGACGAGCAAGAGACCTCCGAGAATAGAGGAAAACAGGTCAGAGACCTGGCACGCCAATATACGCACGAATCAGCACATATCCTTAATGAACAGAGCTTGTTCAATCCAGAAAAGGACTCATATTTAGATCCTTCTTCCGATAGTTTCCAGCCCACTTCCTGGTCTAGGGCGCTGTTTGAACTACGAAGCCACGATGAGCCGAGGCGATGGAAGGGCAGATCAGCCGGATTCTGTTTCAGAAATCTGAGTGCTTACGGCTTTGGCGCCGAAACTGATTATCAACGAAGCGTTGGAAACATGGGCCTACATCTCTTTGGCTTGCTGCGGGACTACATTACTGGGCGTCGACACCAAAGGAGGATCGAGATCCTGCAAAACCTGGATGGTGTCGTCCAACCAGGTGAACTGCTTGTTGTTCTGGGACCGCCTGGATCCGGCTGCACTACGTTCCTCAAAACTCTTGCTGGTGAAACGCATGGATATCACACCAGCAACGATTTCCATATGAACTACCAAGGTATCAGCTGGCATCAAATGCACAAGAACTTTCGCGGCGAAGCCATTTACACTGCAGAACAGGATGTTCATTTCCCACAGTTGACTGTTGGCGACACACTCTACTTTGCTGCTCGAGCTCGGGCCCCTAGATTTCTACCTGCCGGCGTCAACAAAGAAGTCTATGCCCAACGCCTCCGCGACGTTGTTATGGCGGCCTTTGGAATTCGCCATACTGTCGACACTAGGGTCGGAAACGAATATGTTCGAGGAGTATCTGGTGGCGAGCGTAAGAGAGTGACTATTGCAGAGGCGGCTCTCAACGGTGCTCCTCTCCAATGCTGGGATAATTCGACCCGCGGTCTGGATAGCGCCAATGCAATTGAGTTTTGCAAGTCTTTGAGATCGTCGGCGGAGATCGCTAGTATAACGGCGGTCGTCTCAATTTATCAGGCACCACAGGCAGCATTTGACGTTTTTGATAAGGCTCTCGTTCTATACGATGGACAAGAAATATACTTTGGCCCAGCGAAAGCTGGAAAGCAATATTTCATAGGCCTCGGATTCGAGAAACCTGCCCGTCAAACTGATGCGGACTTCCTCACCTCGATGACCAACCCAAAGGAGCGGGTTCCACAGAAAGGCTTTGAGCATAAGGTCCCTCGAACGGCGCAAGAGTTTGTTTTCGCTTGGAAGAAAAGTCCCGAATATAGAGCCCTCCTAGCCGATATCGAGCTCTTTGAGAAGCAACACCCAATAGGTGGCGAAGATCTTCACAAGTTCGAGGAGTCTAGGAGACTGCAACAAGCTAAAAGACAACACCTGAGTTCTCCATACACGCTCTCCTATCTGGAACAAGTTCAGCTGTGTGTTTGGCGCGCATACAGGCGCCTGGTAACCGATCCTACGGTCACTCTTACCGCTCTTTGTGCCAATTTCACCATGTCGTTGGTGACCGCATCGGTCTTTTATGACCTACCCGACAACACCTCCTCCTTTTTCTCCCGTGGTACTCTCCTATTTTTTGCCGTCCTCATGAGTGCCTTCAGCTCAGCACTGGAAATTCTCACCCTTTATGCACAACGTCCTATTGTCGAGAAACACGCGCGGTACGCTCTTTATCATCCATCTGCCGAGGCGTTTGCCTCTATGATAATGGACATGCCATACAAAATTGTCAACGCCATTCTGTTCAATGTCAGCTTATATTTTCTGACAAATCTACGCCGAACGCCAGGCGCTTTCTTCTACTTCCTGTTGATATCCTTCATGCTCACCATGACAATGAGCATGATGTTTCGCACAATTGCGTCGGTGTCTCGTACTCTTCAGCAAGCCCTCACGCCGGCTGCCGTCATCATTCTTGCTATTATCATCTATACTGGATTTTCGATTCCTACAACCTATATGCTAGGATGGGCTCGCTGGATGAACTATCTGGATCCGGTGGCGTATGGCTTTGAGGCTTTGATGGTCAATGAGTTCTCGGGCAGGGCGTTCCCCTGCGTCACGATTGTCCCTCCGTACGGGTCATTGGCTCACGGCGTCTGCTCTGCAGTTGGCGCAGTTGCCGGTCAAGATTTCGTCAGCGGGGAAACATACATTGAATCTGCTTATAACTACAAGGCGTCACACAGATGGCGGAATTTTGGCATTATATGGGTCTTCATGGCCTTTCTCTGTGGCACATATCTGGTGGCTGCTGAGTACGGCCAAGAAAAGAAGTCCAAAGGCGAAGTCCTCGTCTTCCGTCGAGGGAAAATGCCCAAGGACCTAATGAAAATCACGCCTACTGATGGTATTAGAGCGAGTAATGGTGCTGAGGTCGACGCTGAAGCAGCCATTGTGGGAACTCGAGCTCACTATTCGGACCAACACGATTTACAGAATGCGGCTGCCATTATCCAACGCCAGAAGAGGATCTTCCACTGGAGAGATGTCAGTTATGACATCAGAATCAAGGGGAAAGGCAAGCGGATTCTCGACCATATCGATGGTTGGGTCAAACCGGGTACACTTACCGCCATGGTCGGTGTAAGTGGCGCCGGAAAGACTACTCTTCTCGACGTCCTTGCCACTCGTGTCACAAACACTACAGGTGTAGTTACTGGCGAGATCATGGTCGATGGAAGACCGAGGGATAACTCATTCCAGCGGAAGATTGGCTACGTTCAGCAGCAAGATCTTCACCTAGCTACATCGACTGTTCGGGAATCCCTTACTTTCAGCGCTCTCTTACGTCAACCAGCTCATATACCTCGAAAGGAGAAAATTGCCTATGTGGAAGAAATTATCAAGCTTTTGGACATGCAGCCATTCGCAGACGCAATAGTCGGAGTTCTAGGGGAAGGACTAAATGTTGAACAACGAAAAAGGCTAACTATTGGCGTCGAACTGGCTGCTAGACCTCAGCTACTCTTCTTCCTAGACGAACCGACTTCTGGGCTAGACTCGCAAACCTCGTGGTCTATCCTCAGTCTACTGGAGAGATTAAGGAACAATGGACAAGCGATACTCTGTACTATCCATCAACCATCCGCAATGCTTTTCCAGCGCTTCGATCGCCTATTGCTACTTGCCGATCGCGGGAAAACAACCTACTTTGGGCCTATTGGTGAATCCTGCAAGACTGTCATCGCATATTTTGAGAGAAATGGCGCACCCTCATGCCCGGTTGGAGCTAACCCGGCTGAATGGCTGTTGAACATCACGGGCGGAGCTCGCGATCAGTCGTATCGTTGCGATATTGATTGGCCGCAGGTGTGGAAGTCGTCCCCTGAATTCCAGGCAGTGCACGCTGAACTCGACGACCTGGAGGCCAAACGCCCCACGTTGATCGATCATCTCTCGACAGGAAAAGACGGCGAAGATTCCTATCGCTCCTATGCGGCTCCATTCTGGCTCCAGTACTACGAGGTACAGAAACGCGTCTTTCAACAGTACTGGCGAACACCCAGTTACATTTATTCCAAACTCATCCTGTGCGCTGCGAGCGCACTCTTCATCGGCTTCTCCTTCTTTAATGCCAAAAACACCCAACAAGGTCTCCAGAATCAAATGTTCGGCCTGTTCATGCTGCTGACCATCTTCGGGCAACTTGTCCAACAGATCATGCCCCTTTTCGTTACTCAGCGATCTCTGTATGAAGTCCGTGAGAGGCCAGCCAAGACGTACTCCTGGAAGGCATTCATGCTCTCGAACATCGTTGCCGAGATTCCTTGGAACTTTGCCGGGGCGGTACTTTTGTTCTTCTGCTGGTACTACCCCATCGGTCTTTATCGGAATGCCGAGCCTACGAACGCTGTAGAGGAACGCGGTGCCTTAATGTGGCTGCTTGTCCTCGCATTCCTGATGTTTACATCGACTTTTGCGCACATGGTCATTGCGAGCATTGAGATGGCTGAGACGGGCGGCCATGTCGCCAACCTCATGTTTTCTCTCTGTCTGACGTTTTGTGGGTGAGTATCTCCCCCGGCACTTTTATTGGCCCTTGTTGCGATTTATTTACTGAGGCTGTTTGCTTTCTAGTGTCCTGGCCACGCCAAATGCACTGCCTGGCTTCTGGATATTCATGTACAGAGTATCGCCTTTCACCTACCTCGTTGCGGCAATGCTCTCAACCGCCGTAATGGACACCGACGTCCGCTGCGCGGAGAACGAATACCTCCGGTTCAACCCTCCTCCGGGCGAATCATGCGCAGAATACATGGAACCCTATATCAGCGTAGCCGGTGGCTACCTCCTCAGCGGTACCAGTGGCTCGGCAGGCGGTAATTGGAGTTGCGCCTATTGTCCGATCGGCAAAACCAACACGTTTTTGGCGTCGCTGTACATCAATCCGCAGGATCGCTGGAGGAATCTCGGACTCCTTTGGGTCTACATCGTTTTCAATGTATTTGGCGCTTTGTTCCTGTATTGGCTTGGCCGTGTTCCAAAAGTGAAGAACAACATGATTGGGAGGGTTTGGAGGGGGGCTAGGAGGAAAGCCAAGGTGAACGACGAGAAGGTTGACAGTCAATCGGCTGGAGTTGTTTCGGGTTGGTCACCATCCAGGTTGTTGCGTCTCTTCAGAACAAGGCGGTCCGGCTCATAGGTCATCACATGATGGAAAGAGTGTGAACGAATGCCCCCGGGACGTTGCTAACGCCGTAACCTAGATAGACATACAGAGAGGTAGATAGGCAGATGGGCTAGGCATTGACCATACTACCATAGTATCTGATCATACGATTCCGTTCTGTTTCATTTTCATTTTCATTTCATTTCTTTTTTCGGTCAAGTCTTATCCCCGTCTCGCCTCGTCTTGTCTTGTCTCGATCGTAATCGACGTGCCATTTTATATGCGAGGTGCGTCCAGGCACTAGGCATAGCATCATCACCACCGGTACCGCGGCCAAGGTGTTATCCAGATACGCTCGGAAACCAGGGGAAATACTGGAAAATAAATAGACAAATAGACTCAAACCAAAAACACGCCGCCAAATAGGCCCCAAGCCCGAACTTTCCTGATTTTGTTCGTTGGTTGAAAACCCGCTCGAGTTCCGAGTTCCAAGCTCCCGCCTCCCCAGCTCAAGGCTCGTCGTCGCCACTACCCTACCAGTCATTTTTTCCCTTTCCCTGCGCCTCCTCAGATCTTCTTAGGCGCGCCTGCACACTTGACGCCCCTGCCGACGCGGCGCAAAAACGTCCACGCGGCGCGATCGTCCTCGAAGGCAATGTACCCATCAAAGGCCGTGGCGGGGGTGTTTTTGAGGACCTTGGCGACGACCTCGTCGACGGCGAGCACGTCGGCGATGGAGATTGCCTGCGCGTCGCAACCGCCATTGCCACTGCCCTCGCCGTCGCTCTCGCACACGATCCGCATCTCGATCTCCGGCGGCACGGGCAGAATGCGGAGCCCGCTCCCTCCCGCGCGCGGCAGGTGCATCAGCTCGCACACCTTCGGGCACAGGATGTTTGACTGCGGGACCAGGAAGACCAGCTGGGTGTGCGGCGTGAGGAGGAGGGAGGAGATGGTCGTGTGTGTCTGCGGATAGATGATCGAGGCGACGGTCGGGCAGGAGAGGAGGTAGGTGCGCTGTTCCGTATTACTGACGCTGCGTTGTTGGTGTTTGTTGGCGCTCTTGTGGCTTTTGTTATGATGATAATGATGATGATGATGATGATGATGATGATGATGTTGTTGTTGTTGTTGTTGGTATTGCGGTCGCGATTTCGTGCTCGAGTAGCGCCCCTCGTCCCCTTGGTGGTCTGCCTGCTGTCCATCAGAGACTATGGCCTCTGTGGCGATGGCGCCGTTGCTGACGAGCCGCTCTTGGTGCTTCGACCTGTGCTCGCCTCGCGCTGCTTTGCGCGACGCTGCCTTGACGTCCGTCGTGAAGCAGCAGTTCTTGACCGGCGGGAGCGAGCACCTCCCGGTCGGGTAGGCAAAGTCCCAGCACGAGACACCCAGGGCTTCCATCTGCGCCGTCAGGTCGATTGTGTTCATGGTTGTAGGTGCGTGCTGCTTCGACGCCATTTCCGTCACGTCTTTTGACGTCGCCGAGGCTTTCCCCAAGCTGGCGCTGGACTGCCTGAAGGCTTGCGTGCTGAAATGCATATGGAGGAGAGGAGCCAACGAGGCTAGGATTTTCGAGAGCTTTTTCGTTTTGGCCCCGAGTTATGTTCGAAGACAGAGGCAAAAACCACACCCCCTGTGTCTTGTGATGCCTTGGTGCGTGTGGTTGGTGGCGTTCTGGAGTCTTCCGACGAATCAAGAATATAGACCTCCTGACCGACCAGCCTCGTGGCTATTGAGCAGAGTAGATCGTTTTGTCGTTGCGTTCACTGGTTGATGGCAGCTGATCGTGCGCGAACAGATGTCAATGTCCAACTAGTCGTAATAAATAAGCATACAATCAAGAAGTGCCTCAAGTAAGCCCCCAGCCCCCTTCAACTGTACGAGGAAGATATAGTGCACTGAATGGCTATGCGGATGCGGGGCGGGAGCGAGATATAGCACGAGGCATGACTGCATCCGGTGTCTACCCGAGAAAGGAAAGGAAAGACGTTCTCAAAGCAGATCAAAGCTGCGGCACCGCGGAGAGCCATATCCAGGTACATAAGACGTCCTACCGCCAAGGTCGCCTGACCCCCCAGGCCGTGTGCAGGGCGCCGAGGTTGCACTTCGACCCTCCCTGTCCTTGTTAGGTGAAACGAACCCTTACCTGAGGTAAGAAGGAGGCGTCAGGATTAGCAAATCATCTCGCAAATTCTTTGGCATTTTCCTCCTGTTGAGCGATTTTCCCCCGGTCCGATATGCCCTCCTTGGTTTTCTGGAAGCCGCATGGAAACGCGGGAACGAGGGCTGGCCTGGAAAGGGATGTCCGGTGAGAGGTCCGTGGTCAGTTTTCACTAGGAAAGGAAGCTGGAATCACCGTGGTTTAAATGGCTATCAAAACTAACGCAAGAACAAAAAAGAGCGTACCCCGCAGCCGGTTAGCCGTTTGACGTACCTACTGTACCTGTAGAAGTATGGGCCACTTCGACTGGTATTCGAATAGGCTGACGGTGCCGAAGTCGCGAGGCCGAGCTGGCACCAGCTGGGCGGCTGCGGCTGATGATGGTCCATGGATATTTTCCGATCAAGCCACTTGGGGCAGGGCGAAAGCTGGGGATGAGGTGAGCCTGATAGGCCTCCATCAGCAAATAATGACCCAGTATTCAGAGGAGATAAGTCAGCAATGGTTGGGCAGCGTAACAGCGAGACAAAAGTGCAAAAAGTTGGGATGGTGGCTGGTATATCGAGGTGGTATTCAAATCGCTGGACGGTCGACAAGAGCGCTCACTCGTATATCCCTCAATTGGTGGCTTGCGGAGCCATGCCACACACGCATCTGGGCACTTTCCGAGATCGACCAGTGCATCCAGGAGGGCGACTCTTGCGCCGGGGGGCGCTGAATAACCTTTACGTGACGTGTGGTTGGGCGGCCATTTCTCGGCCTGAAGCCACCCTCTGAATTAGGGAATGGGACGAAGGTGGACTTGGATGCGAGAATGGACCCCTTGGGTCAGAAAGGAAGAGCCATTTAGGCCTCTTCATTGCGATACTCCGTGGAAAAAAATGAGTCCAGTGCCGTGAGGTTGCTCACCTTTCTCTCGTGAGGCAGAGGGATGTAAAGCAATATATACTATCAGAATGGATATATACAGAAAGTCCCTTGTTCAAGGGGATCGTTAGAGAACAGTTCGAATGCCTTAGCAACTGGGCATCTAGCTTCATTCTCCGACACGGTGAACGCTCCCGCTCGCCTCATGCCCGTCGATGCGGGGAACGACGACAAGCTCCTTCTGTGGTTCAATTGGCAGGCAACACAACCTTGAAGACCAATACTTGATTGTCAAGACTGTACCCGCCCTCATCAGCATACGGCAGCAACCCGCCGTTCATAAATCCATTCTGGGTGATGAAGTCATTGTCGCTCAAGCTGAATATGAAATACTCGCCGTCGGACTTGGTATACCCATCCTTGCAGGTCGGGCTTGAAGGATCAACCGGAACGACAGCAATCGACTCCCACTTTTCGTTCAGGAGACCAGCATCTTGAGCCCCACCGTTGTGCAGGCCGAATCGGTTGAGCTGAGAATTGACATTGTAGTCGAGCCATGAGCAGTACGTGGCGGGTATTATGGCCGAAGCGAGCACCCCATTTACCGAGGCCGCAGAGCAAGTTGTGCAGTCGTACGTGTTTCCCGCGAGGTTGGTCGCTTTGGAGATGTCAATAACATCGATGTGGCGGTATCGGGATAGTGAGTTGGATTGACCATGGCCACGGCCGGAGTCACGGGCAAGGACAAGGAATTGTGTTGGGCTGATGTAGTGGATCTCGGATTGAGCAGCAACCAGAGTGTTGTTGTTGAAGACCGGGAGTGGAACCATATACTCTGCCTTGTAGATTGGCGTGGAGGGATCACTCACATCATACTCGAGCAAGCGGCTAAGACGCCGTGTTGAGGAATTGCCACCGCCCTCTTGAGCTAATGCCGACTGCATCAGTGCATAGAGAGTTTTCTTGTCGGGCGAAGAGGTCAGGCCTTCGAGACCTTGGTTGTTCGACCGTCCTGTGTTAGGGGTTGCTGGGATTGTCTCGAAATCAGGGTTATAACGAGGTGGACTATCGGCGTTAAAAGACTCAGTTCCATTTCTCTCGGGAATGATTGCAGAAGGAGGTCGGATGGCTCCCGTCATTTTACCACTATGATCGAAATGGTAGATGTAAGGGCCATATTCATCGGAGACCCAGAAGCCACCCGAACTGAGGACTAGGCCTTCAGTATCTCCACACACGCGATGGCCCCCCGTACCATTGCCGCCAAAGCCATCCCCCGTGTAGGTGGCAGATGGAAGGTCGGGGAAGCCGGGGAAGGTGAGGTAAGGAGGCCTGAGATCGGCATCAAGACCAGTCAGTGGTGTCCCAGTGGGGTCCGTGAAGCGGATTGTGTCGAGGTATTGCAAATGCACATTTGGCGAGCTGGGGTTCGAGGCCGTAGAGTTGTAGTTGGGCGTGAAGGTGATCTGGAACTTGTGGACTCGGGGTTGATAATTCAGGGTGCCTTCGGTGTTCCAACCACGGTCGGGTAGAGCCCAGAGTATGCCACTATAAACTCCATTGCTGTCGACTCTCCATGAGTGTTGGTCGATGGCAGCGCTACTGCCAATACCTCCCGCAGTGTCTCCAAATTTGTCGCGGGAATCTGACGGCGTGAATCCATAGCCAGCAAGAGCCTGATAGACGTAGGTTTGGCCATTGCAGGTAGTAGTATTGACAGCCGCACCAGCTCGTCGAGCAGGAGATGCCAACGCAAGGCTGGCCGCCAACGTGGAGAGAAGCAATGTTTTCATAACCATTGTGATTGGTTGTACCAAGGATATTTAGCAATTAACAGGGGTAATTATTGGTCGCCTGGGAGAAAGGGGGAACTCTGTACAGTAAGCTCACCGAAACGAACGAGGTGGCAAACCTGGATGCTCTGGAAATGCAGGAACGATTGGTACTACAGAGCAACTGAACAAGTTCTTGAGCGACCTTTTAACCCAGACGCAGCGAGGGTTGGCCATCGGATGACGGCTCTAGAACAATCTGCACGTGTGCAGTTGAATCTGCTTGATTCGTGCGAGCATCGCTACCTGCCAAAAGAAAAACCTGCAGATCCAAGCGAGAAAAGCTAGATGCTACCTGGACAAGAGCACTAAACGGAGGGTACATTTGTGCAATCTCGGCAGGCTAGATGGGCGCCCTGACTTGGAAATCGAAGCATCTCAACTGACACCCGTCGGGTGAAGAAGACCACAATTAGGGATTTGAATGATATAATGGAAGAATCAAAAGCTTAAGGGACACTGAGCGAACTAATAACATAGCTAACTTGTGAGAAGGTGAGCCGAGGGAAAGTGACCCGGTCCGTAGCTAACTCAAGGAGGCTAGTACACTTCGTTAAATAAGTTGGCTATTCGCGTAGTCATACTTAAAGCAGATATAGCCATAACTCGGCTGTATTAATACCTATATTTCTTCTCTCTTATACTAGTGAAGCGATCTCGTTTTAGAACACCCTCCTTCATCAGCCCTGGTCGATGGGATCCATTAAGGATGCTGAGGTCTCAATCTGGGTCCCCTCTAATATTCCGTCCGGACTATTCGGTGCCGCTCCTGCTTAGCAGTTAGTATCAGAGGATGAAGTCGAATCCTTTGAATGCCCATTGATTACCAAAAAAAGAAAAAAACCACAATGAAACATTATTTGACGATGGCTTAGGTTATTAGCCAATTCCTCCGACAGTAGGTATCACGTCCCTATCAGTCAACTAGCTTCCTCAGGGTTATGTATTTAGCTAGGGCGGAACGAAACCACTGCGGTCAATTAGTCCAGCAGCCCACTGACTAACTAACCGACAAGCCAACGAACAAGCCATTCAGGTCAGTCAGTCATTCATTCATAGCGGTCACCACTTTCCCTCCGCCCTTCCTGACCATCCAACTCCAATGCTTCGTCGGATCGTCCAACATATCCCTCCAAGCCGGCAAATCAGGCGCGCCAGGCCCGAGCCGGAGCTCGATCGCCTTGATGGCTAACTCGGTGTACTTCCGAGCCCCTCTCGCGCTCCCGACGGCGCTGTACATCAGCGCCGCATAGCAGTAGGCCGGGTCGAGGTAGCCGTCTAGACCTTCCTCGCGGTACAGCCGGATCAGGAGCTCTGCATGCTTGACGCTAGCGGCGGAGCGTGGGTCTGACCAGGCCGAGAGCGTCCGTTGGAGGACAGCCATTTCAGTCAGAACTGCGTCTGCGTCTGCGCCTCTGCCTCGAAGGCAGCGCGGGCAAGTGCATGTGAAATGGAACGCGTCGGACAGGTACTTTTGCCTCGTGGCGCGCGTGTCCAGGGGACTGGTGTACGCGATTGTGATCTCCTGGTCCTTGGGAATGGGACGCACCGCACGCACGACGTGCGTCAGCGTCGACGAGTTGACGTGAAAAATGGCGTTTGGCGCGCAGTCGTGATTCATGCGCGATGACTCGGGGATGATGGTTAGGTGAGGAACTGTCGCTTCGATAGATCCTTTGTTCTCTCCCAGCCGCATCTCGAACGAGTTTGCGCTGGCAATGTCCTGTGCGAGGATGCTCGAGTCGTCGGAGAGGGTGGCTAGTTTTAAGAAAGATTCGCGCGACGGGCCTGGTAGCTGGGTTACGGCCAGCCGTAGGAATTTCTCTCGCTGGTCCTTGGAAAGGAAATGTTCCTTGTACGCGAGCAATACGGGCGTGTATGCTGTAATTGTGTCACCACGCTGGATATCGCGTTTGGCGAGCATCCCGATCCCCTTGCCCGGGACTGGATGAGTATACCAGGCACCCGTGAAGCTGTTGATGCCAAGAGTGTCCAGCACAGACGAGGGATGCTGCAAAGAGGCCAGGAGGATGGCGAATCCCTCTGCGATCTCAGGCGTGGTAAATATCGAGATGCCCCTGCCATTGCTGAAGTGTCTGTCGGTGTACACGCACAGTTTGCTGTCAATTTGGCTGACCTTCAATGTACACGCTGGCTCATACGACCAAGGCGCAAAGGCGTTGGGCGAGATGGTATCGTTCGACACTAGACCGATGTCCAGGTTGTCACGCAAGGGTAGCTGCTGGTCAGAGCCGATTCTGTGTATGGTGTCTCCTTCAACGTGTGCTCCTGTGACAAGTAAGGATAGACAAAGCAACGAAACGAAGCTGTGTGTCAGCACACGTGTCTTCTTCAGCGCCATGGCCTATTCATGCGGAAAAGAAACATATGCAGCTCAAATCCGCCTGGTAGAGGCGCCATGAACGTGAAGATAGCATCCGAAGGCATTCATTAGGGAACAAAAGGGCCGGACTCGTTTTCGTGCAGGATGATCAATGATCTGGGAAGCCCAGCACGCCAGCCCCACCTGTCATCCATTCTTTTACTCAAGAGGCGTCATTTCTCGACCTCACACCGCCGAGACCAGCCAAGGGCGCGAAGCAAGAGACGGAGGGAAGACGTTTGTAGACACCAAGAAATTTCCAAGAAATACCAAGGCCACGTCGGGAACCCGGGAGCATGGTTTGCTGCATACATGCAATGATGCTTAGCCTGGGTTTCTTCTGCTTTGCAGCACCACGCATGGGATCGTGCGCCAGTCGCTCAGCTGCAGGATTGGGAGGAAGTGCATTTTAAGCAGCATGAGGCTGTGAGATAGATCACATTCAAGGGAGACCCCGGAGATTCGGTTGAACGAGTATGAAAAAGACCTGTTGGGAGCTTATGTGGAGACTCACTCACCCCTCTGTGATTCTACTGGTAGACTAGCGTCTTGCAGATGGCAATAACTGCGCTAGCAACCACTAGCCCTAACCATCGCCTCAAGTGCCTCGGCATATACTAAATCATTTGAAGAAGCCCTCTATGATCATGTTCCGAGTCTCTAACGAGCTAGGTATGAACATATTGTAATAAGGCAAAGTGGCTGTGCTGGGATGGTATGGGGGGTGGCAGGAAGGAGAGTTGTCTAGTCACATGTCAACCCAAAATGGGTTGAGGAGTGCTGAACAGTTCACATTGCTGGCAGAGCGCCATTCTTTACAGGTTGATAGAGTATTCCGTGTTTTTGATGCCGTCTACATATTCCTGGGTGTTTCCATCAGCCCTTTCCCACTTCTTAATGCCGCCGCCGTGCTAGGCGCTCGTTGCCTTAGCTACTGTCTCTCTGAGGTCGATTCCCAACCTACTTGACTGGCCCCTGTGCGTTGTTGCACGTGCATGCCAAACCCTGCAGTGCTCTGTTACAACATCTACCCCGTGCGTACAAGGTACTAAATAAGTATTCGATATATACTTTCTGGTGCTTCAGTATGAGCTCAGTTCGTCGATTCCTCTTATAAGTCCTCACCCTCCAACTACTTGAATGCAGCAGGGACCCAAGCCTGACAAAGTACTTCACCACCGACGACCTTTGCCTCCTCTATCGTCTTAGCTACCGCACCGGGCGATTCTCTCTTCTCGTCGTCTGACAAAGTCAAAGCCACGACTCCGAGATATAGCCCGTTCATGAAGTCACTAATCCCTGCCAACCCCTCATCATCACTCACCACAATCTTAGTCTGGTAGACCTGTATCTTGTCTTTCTCGAAACCAGCACTAGCAAGCGTCCGCACGAGCGCGCCTTTCCGCATAAATTCGGGACCCGCCACAGGCATCTGCCCAGCATTAGGTCTAACCTTTCTCATCGCGGCGTCAAGAACGGTGGCGAATCCGAAGGTCTCCCAGTTCGAGACTATAGCTGTTCTATCAGGCTTGAGCGTACGATACGTTTCCTTTATTGCTAGTTCGGCGTTGGTGAAATTGGCGATGCTAAAATTGACTATGTCGAGGTCGAAGAAATCGTCTTCAAAGTCCAGAGCTTGAGAGTCCGCGACGCGAGGGCGGACTTGGCGCTGGAGGGCTTTCGACCATGCCTTCAGTATAATCAGTGGTGTAGACGCTGGGTATTGGGGTGCTAGGAGGGTGAAGTATTGTTAAAATTTCCGGTCGCGGTCTGTTAGCTCGGGCATGGCCGTGAATATTGGCTATATTTTAAAGCAAAGCTTCTGATGCAAGAACGACAAAATCTCAGTTCTTTGATCAAGGAGCTAGATCGAATCAACCCGATATAAGCCATCAAGATGCCGCATCTGGATTTGATATGCCTGTGTTATACGATCTTCTTAAGGATCCGGTACTCAACCGTGGACATCAAGCAACTCTATATATCCCGCATCTCGCAACAAATACTTGATGTTGACTGCCAGAGCGTCGGTCAGATCGTGCCGCGCCGCCTTGATGGCCTTGCAGAAGCTACAGCCATGCTCAGTTGTTCCACGGTCTATGGACCGCATCTACTACCCCACTCGTTATGCTGAGTAAACGCAGGAAGCACGAAGGAAAAGAAATCGATCAGCTTCTTTCAGGAACGATTCTGAGGTCGTCAGATGATGATGCTTCGCTCAACTCCCCAGGTCTTTGGTTTGAATATTCAAAGCGAGACGCATAGGTCGGGTGACTTCCTATACCCACTTTATTTTCATGCAGGGAAGCAGTGTGCAGATTGGGCCGTCCCTGAGCATTGGCTACAAGTCATTTGGCGACTTCACATTAAGCTTCTGAAACATTAATTAGTATTTGCGTGGCATCACCAAAAAGGGCCGCATGCGGGCATTCCTAGCCTCGGTTGCGGATGAGTACCCCCACCCCCAAAGAATACAAACCTAGGTAAGGGAAAGGACTTGAACGAACAATACTGCGCACCGGTCAATACTTCATGACTGAAAGGGCCTTGGATTTGCGTAGTTCACCATCTCAAGTCCACATTCTCATCATGTCGTCGGACACTTCGAAGTACAGGTTCAACCAAATCGGCATTAGAGTCTCAGACCTTCAGCGTTCCTTGAACTTTTATCAGGATGTGCTGGGCATGAAAGAACTTGCACATATGGAATTTGACACCGTGAAGATTTGGTTTTTGGGATATCCTGAAGAGCATGCTGGCACAGATGGAAGCGGAGTCGGGAGGTCTTTTTTGGCCAGAGAAGGCGTGCTGGAGTTGATTTGGTCAGAAGTGCGTACCTCTTCCTTGACAACTAGCACAGTAGCACGTTTGATGGAAAGGCGCTTGGCCAAAAGCTGATCCATATCGCGCGGACTAACTGTAATACAGCACTCCCAAAAACACATTACCAACGCCAATGATCACCCAGGATTTGGCTTCATCAAACTCTGCTTCACGGTTCCAGATGTGTCAGCTTGCATGAGGCGATTGGAAGCCAGCGGTGTTAAGATCCTCAAGCAGCCCGGCAGCCTGCAAGGTCTAGAAGTCGCGGCCCAGGCAATTGGGGCTGAGATGCCTGAGAAGGGAAGGAATCAGGGCCTTTGGAAGGCCGTCACTGGGGCAGGGTTCGTAGAGGATCCTGACGGGTATCTTGTAGAACTAGTACAGTTTTAAAGCTCGACTTCAGGAGAATCGAGATTGACTTGAGTCACCTTTTGTTCACTCCCTGTCAAGAATGCGAGCGCAAGACCACAAAAAGGAGAACATCTCGCTCTGGGTCTGAGGAGCTCTATGTTCGTTTGCCGTGGATGAAGAGTTCACAGCGAGAGCGAGCTGGAGCATCGGCAATCCAGCACAGAATCATTGCCAACTCTGCTCATCACATGATAAACAAGAACAGGAATGAGAACTTGACTGATCACACAGTTAAAATCAGAGTGAAAAGTTGGACATGAATGCCAAGATGCCAAGCATTTACTTAATAAGCGGCTCGACGGTGAAGGCCGGCCATTGCGTCATGGGGTTTGCTTCTGCGAACTGGTGCCAGGCCAGGGCTATCAATTGACGGCTGGCGCCGACAAACCCCCAGGACCCCTCCTACTCACACGACCTTCTCACCTTTCACCATTCCATTCACTGTTTAGAAGTCACGAAATCTTCTCTTCTCCATAAAATCTAAGAATTCTTCGCTTCTCCAGTGTCGTCTACATTTCTCTTCCAAGATCGGCTTCTCCAATCCCCCGCAATTGCACCTGAATCAGGCTCCCTTGTTTCTCCACCACTACCGCAATCAGGATGCCTCTCTTCAACGTACGCTGCTGTCTTCTTTTCGATCTGACGGTTATTGACTTGGAGCAAGGTCACACTCAAGGAAAACGCTTCTCCCGAGGAGCTCACCAAGGCCAAGGAGAAGGCCAGAGCTGATGGAGGAGAGATCAAGCACGAGTTCACCCTGATCAAGGGCTTCACGTAAGTCTTCTGTGTTCGCGGCTCTGTTCCCGCCGATCTAACCTCTTTGTGTCGGCAGTGTCGAGTTCCCTGATGACAAAGTCGGCGTCCTTCAGACCAACGAGCACATTCACGTGGAACAGGACAGCGAAGTGAAGATTCAATGATTGACGGGAACGAAGTTTTCTCAACATCCTACGGATTGACTGGGCTTCTAATGGACTCTTCAGCGACTTTCTATTCATGAGCTTGACGATACAAGATCTTTGTCACGATGGCAACGGACACCCACGGTATACAATCTCAGAAACTTGAAAGGTCCAAGGTCGCATGGGCTTGGGTCGGGGTATGGTGGACACGACTGCAACCGGATATCATGAGCTAAGATGGGCACATTCAACCATCATGAATCACAGAGGCTTCTTTCTACTCCTGTGTCTTCCCGTTCTAAAAATCCGTAGTCCTCCCATTATAAGTCCACTCTCCGCTCGGACCCCATCTCAGTGGCTCGTTCTTGGGTCCCCCAATCTCCCCGGTCTTCGGGTTCCTCTCCCCTTCAAATTCAGGCTGTGCCCCTCTCACTAGATTCGGGTGTAATTCTTCTCCTTCACCACTCGCTTCGATCACAACGTGGTCGTAGCAGTCTTGAGATCCCGCTAGCTGCTGTGATCCTCCTCCTGCTGCTCCGTCCGTTAAACCAGGGGCGGAAGACGACCGGGATATGCTGTCGACACGCTCGTCAATCGCGACATGCACACCCTCAGTTTTCGAAAACGACGAGTCAGGCGATTGATTTACCCGCGGCGTCGAGAACGCCCCCGTTGACTGGCGCTGGAGCGCCTCGAAAATCTCCTGTTCCTCCCTCGGCAGCCGCGGCGGCGCGGGCATGCCGCGGAAACTGAACTGCGATGAAGAGGTTGCGGCGGCGCCTGTCATCCCGTCCTCGTTCCTCCGCAGGCGCGCGGATCTACTGCTCAGCTGTCGAATGTTGTGGGCGCGGCTCAGCCGCCAGCATGAACATGCACTTGAGCTTGGACGCTGAGGAGCGAAGAGGTGCGCGCGTGGAGCTGCGCAGAGTGAGAGGGACCGCATTTTTGTTTTCTTTCTTGTCTTTCTCTCCTCTTTTTCTTTGAGATGGTCTTCGTAGGAGGGGGTAGGTTTTTCCTTTTTTGGGGAGGCCTTTGAGGGAGGTGAGATTGTCGTGTCGATGTGGTTATCTTCTGACGTATATTCTTAGCGCGCTGGGTGGCAGTTGAAAGCAGTGGTCGCAGATGGCAAAATACGAATTGGAGTTGGGCGACTAGTTGGTTCCATACCTAGATTACCCGGCAATAATAATACTCGCGAACGAAAAACCTAATTGCTATTTCCGGTTTGATCTTAGAGGGTGAGCGAGGGCCGCTTTGGCCTGGGCTTTAACTGAGCCTCGGCAGAGCCTGGCGAGCCGGGTGAGCTTTACTACCACTTCCTAAGCCGGTTGAGCGTTTCTTGATCAACACCCTCACACTTCGGTGGCTACAGGATCAGCATATTGTAAAAGTTTGTGGTCAGCTACTCTTGCGTATGTATCAATACCTGTGATCACGAGGACGTCAGGCACCGAATAGTAGGGTCCAAATACCGCAATGACTTTGCTTCGCCTCCTCTCCACGTCCTTCCGAATTCTCTCTTGACCTCCACTGCTTATTATGTCCAGCTTCTCTCGCCATCTCTAGGAAATCCAGATCGAATTTCGCATGCATTCGAGAATTTTCTGCCAGTTTCGTGTCCCTGGTGGTTTCTTTCAAGGTAAGGCAATTTTTCTATCGTGAGATTCCCCTAAGATCGCTTATGCTTCATCCGTTTCACCAACCACTCAAGATCTCCGACTGGAAGATTGAAAGGGAATTCAACAGAAGCCAGAATCTGCACCAGCAATAAATACCAACAAAGGATACAGACAACGAAACCGCAAGCACCGGCCGCTGTCATAAGATTTGTTGCTGCGACCCCCTCGGCGGCCTTGAAAAACACTCCGGAGAGACACGCCAACATGGGGACCAAAAGCAGGAACGTCAGCATGAGCACCACATTAGTTTTCAGTGAGGCAATGAAATATATGGAGCACAGCAGCGCCATGTACAACGGGAAGTAAGCAAATGTCGCATTGAATGTCGCATTCGTGAGTGCCGTTTCCGGTGACTCAGGTTGGTATGCCGCGGCCGCATTGAAGGATGGTGTCAACGTCGCACCGAATGAAAACCAGAAAGCCCCAAAAGAACCGAACACGGCGAATTGAAAGGTATGGCCGAGGAAAAATTCGAGGATAGACGCAATGACCATGAGAAGGCCACCGAAGAAGTAGAAGACGCCGCTGGTGGAGGGTCAGTGTCTTGTTTCTCGACCAAGAGGTTATGGGGAATGGCTTGCATTTCAGCTGCTCCAAGGCCGCTAGCACCTCGCCAGCCCATCAGAGCATTTGTCACAGGTGTTAGGGACATGAGAAAACCCAGCAACGCCCTTAAATTACATTTGTCAGTGAGTGTCCCTTTGGTATTGGCAGGTAAAGTGAGATATCATTACATCGGCATTGGGTTGCCCAGGGTAGTTGGCGTCCCAGCAGTCGGATTGATTTCCACCTCGTGGTGCTCAACTTGGCTCACTGCCTGTGGTCGATTCTCGATCTTGCCTGTTTCTCCCATCTCCATGTCCGACGACAGTCTTTGTCCGTGAGATGCCATTGACGGAGTGGCAGATCAGTCAAGAGAGAGTTAACGCCGATGATCGAACTGGTCAACGATGAACAAAATGCTTTGATCTGCACAGAATGCACACGACCGTCGCATGTCTCTTGGAACCCAAGTCATGATCCGAATCCCTTTATATAGATTTCGTGTCGAACAACGTGGTAATCCTTCCATGTTTCCGGGGGTGATTACTCTTGAGGTCGTGACTCTGAAAAACACTATCAACAAAGCTCAGGCCAAACTAATACTAGAACGAAAACTGTCCCATTCAACCGGAGGGGGATTTATACTTCTCAAGAAGAAAGAAGAAAAAAAGGCATCCTTGGACGAAAACTCAGAGCGAAAGGGCTAGTCGAGAAAACGTTTGAGGTACGCGCTCAGTAGGAGCGGATGAGTTGTCGCCCAATGAATGATTGCTATCCTGCCACATCGAAAAACGCCTTAGAGCGGCTCCGCTGCAAAGATCCACACTCGCATGCTTTGTTCTTGTGCATTGGACTCTACAGAAAGAGATAGTCGTGTAAGGGTTTATTGGAGCTCCTACCCGCGAGGAGTTTGAGACATCTTGATTGCATGTCCGGATGAAAATTGATTTCATGTATCTCTTGACCAAGGATGATATGAAACTGCACAACCACTACCGCAATGATGGATGCTAACATAGAAATAAGGCCTTCTGTGGTACGGCAGTTGGCTCAAGGACATGTCAACAATCCCAGAAATTCTCATATTTCTAGTATCAGTGGCAGAGTTGTTGTCTCAGGACGATCAATCAGCAACAAGCTGTTCGACACCGTATTACTCAGGTTGAGAGGTCAGAAGGCTATCCATATACTGTGGTGCGATACATGCTGAATTTTCATCTGCAGGTATTATGATCGCATCCCACGATGATGAGACATCTATCGAAGACCTCATCACATTGGCCGACGTCAAATTGTTTGCGCAGTTCGGTAACGACCCAGCATCTGGCAACAGCAGTGTGAATTTTCGGTTCGATCTGCCTATCAATGCTCCAAAATTACTAGGCGGGATCAAGTATCTCCCACTGTCAGGGGTGATTACAGGCTTTGCTTGTGAAACTCCAGGTCCAGGGTATTTCAACAACCAAAGGACGGCCAAGGCATTCTGTGAGACTGTATACTGGCTAGAAGCGGAATTCCGACTCGGGGAACGGCAGGCTGGTTGCCTCACTAGGCACGTTGAGGTCTCCGATTTTTATCAACACCTTCACATCTCGGTCCAGCGACCCTTTCACTTCTCTCACAAGGTGACTGCTGGATATTTTTCGAAGTGTTGCCACGAGACGGCGATAAACTACTCCTTGATACTTGGACAATTGGAGCCATGCCGAACGGGCCACGATGAAGGAACCACCGGAATTCGATATGTGTCACTCCCAATGACTCTTGCCATGAATACCCCAAGCATGGCTGACCGCTTTTTGCCTTGGGACACCAGACAATCCTTGAAATGTTACATCAGTTGTAGGTGGGAAATGAAGACCTCCTTTTCCACAATCAAGGATACCAAGCTCGAGAGTGGGAAGCTCATCTTCGAGTCAACAACGACAACACAAACTAAGCATTGTTGTGTCTACTTCCGGCCTACGACAAACTCGGGCTTATCTCACAATTACGCTGCGATCTCTCAGATTGACCTCGCTGTACCTAAATTCATCAAGGAGCCCACCTGTCGGTGGGGACTATTGTCAAGGCAATATAGTTTACAAGTCTCCCTCATTTTTGACAGACTTGCCGGACTATCATTGCCCAAATTGCAGACAATCATGCGGTTGATGGTAACCCCAGTGGAGATATGCACAGAGATTGCCGGCGATGTACTCACGGGACAAGTAGCTGTAACTTCGCAACATGGCGATGACACAACAAAACAGACGACAAGGTGTTCGTCTGCCCTTCCTCTCTATTATTAGTCTCAATATCTCAAGAATCGATGACTTGATGCATCTCAAGCAATTGCAAAGCGTTGGTTAAGATATTACCAAATCTCTACCATTTTCCAGATGCTAGAGTAGAATTATACGGTGGCGCTGGGTTGTGATAGATTCTTGTGACACTGATAGACACAGAGGAGCGACATTTCTAAGCCAGGAGAGAAATGGTGAGAGTTACTGCGTCAGAGGTTCCTATCCATCTATGTTGCTATCATACCTGATTACAAACCTGAAAGACTGCCCATTACACCATTTACGATTCCCAGTGGATCCCATCGGGTCTTCACCAACATAATCCTACCGAGTGATAGCCAGAATTCCATTACACCGCCCGTTCCCGTTGACCGAGGCTTCTATGGAGTAATGCTTCACAAGCTCTGTCAAGCTTGTGCCCGATCGAAGAGTGAGATATCGGGCCGGACTGAAGGCATCTATCCGTGAAACAGACGAGAACTCGGTGCGACGTCGTCAATACCTGAGCAATAGCTGTCACTGATCCATAGTCAGGGTGAAGTATGCTTTGGAGTTTATCCCTCGACCGGCTCCGCTCTCGCCTCTTTGGCCACACTAGACTTGCTCCAGATGGGGCAAGGGGTTCTTGATTGTTCCAATGACGACCTATCCAAGACCGAGACTTCCAGGTCTGAGGTTTTACGACATCCTCGATCCCTACAGGTATCTTCGCTCAGGGTATAAAAGAACCAACACGCTCGTTCAGAGGTCGTGTTGGACACAACTTACAACACACGGAGCCAACGACGGAGTTCTCGGCGGCAACAATGAAAGAATCCGGAAGCACTCTCAAAACTGAGTTGACAGAGTTTGCCCATCGCCGTAGTAGCGAAGGACCTTATGCTGACGATTTGGACGTGGATGTCCTGATTGTCGGTGCCGGGTTTGGTATGACTTTGCTTCCCTAGTTGCAACACCAAAGAAATGAACTGAGTCTGTGTCCAGGCGGCACCTACCTACTGCACGAGCTTCGCAAAGCCGGCTATCGCACCGTCGTGTACGATGCTGGTACATCCTTTGGAGGCACTTGGAGATGGAACATCTATCGTAGGCCCCCAATATTTTCCAGCGACGAGCCAGGCTGACCAATCAAGCCGGCGCGAGGGTCGACAGCGAGGTTCCCATCTACGAACTTCCTATTCCCGAGGTCTACAAGGACTGGCACTGGAGCACTAACTATCCCGATTGGAAGGAGCTACAAACCTATTTTGCCCATGCCGACAAAGTTCTGAACCTCTCTAAAGACGTATCTTTCCAGACTGTGGTCACTGGGGCAGAATTCGACACCGACTCGGGAAAATGGACCGTCACCACGTCTGACGGACGCAAAGCAAAGGCTCGATTTCTCATCGCCGCTACCGGATTCGCAGCTAAGCGCTATGTTCCGCCATTCAAGGGTGTTGATAAGTACAAAGGTATCATTCACCACACCTCCTTCTGGCCCAACGAGGGCGTCGATGTCAAGGACAAAATAGTCGCAGTCATTGGATCAGGGGCATCGGGTGTTCAGGTTGCCCAGGAATGGGGCCCAGAGGTGAAGCATATGTTTTCTTTCCAGAGAACTCCAAACCTCGCCATCCCAATGGGGAAGAAAGCACTTTCGAAGGACGAGCAGGATGCTCTAAAGACCACATATCCAACAATCCATGAGTTCCGTAACCGTTGCTTTGCCGGTTTCCACTACGATCTATGCGAGCGCAATACCTTTGACGACACCCCTGAAGAACGGGAAGCCTTCTACGAGAACTTATGGCAGAAAGGCGGTTTCCACCTGTGGCTTGCTAATTATAAGGATTACCTCTTCGATGAGAAAGCTAACCGCGAAACTTATAACTTCTGGCTGAAGAAACAGCGCGCTCGCGTGACCGACCCAGTTAAGAGAGACCTTCTCTGTCCACCTGAACCTCCTCATCCGTGGGGTGTAAAACGCCCTTGCCTGGAACAGAATTACTTCGAGGTCATGGACCAGAAGAATGTCACGATTGTCGATATCAGCGATGATTCAGGCAACGAGATCGCGGAATTCACCGAGAAGGGCATTAGGACGACGGATGGCAAAGAGTATGAAGTTGACGTTGTGGCACTCGCCACCGGCTTCGACGTTGTGACTGGCGGTCTAACTCAGATGGGTCTAAAGTCGATCAACGGCCAATACCTTAAGGATGAATGGAAGAGTGGTATTAATACATATCTCGGCGTTACGATCGCAGGATATCCGAACTTCTTCCATGTCTACGCGGCCCACGCTCCGACGCTCCTGTGCAATGGACCATCATGTGTCGAGGTTCAAGGTCGATGGATCCGCGACGCCATCAACATGATAACTCGGCAAAGCATTAAATACGTCAATCCAACCAACGAGGCAAGCGATCAATGGAAGGCAAGAATTGCAAGTCTCGCCGCCCAAACACTCTTTCCAAAGGCCAAAAGGAGTACGTACATGGGAGGCAGTATCCCCGGAAAAGCCCGCGAGTTTGTGTGTTATCCGGCAGGATTGGGCACCTACGGAACGGAGATCAGGGGCTGTTTGACAGGATTCAAGGGTTTTGATGTTGTTAAGGCTTAAACAGGATGTCGCCGTCTCGTACTGGGACGGTAATGGAAGCGAGTTGGAGGTATGTTGAGTTGATGCTGTGTGGGAAAGACAAGAACGCTTTGAGGTAGCAGCTGTGGCCGATAGATAGCACCTAAAAATACTGGTACCAGTTTGTTCTTTCCATCTCCTAGTAGCGTTCGCCAGACACATGGAGCTTCAAGTCATGGAAAAAATGAAGGCGTCGACGAGTTTCTGGAACTACGCCGGACAATTCGATAAATTCACGGTCTGTGTCACAGTAGAGGGTAAGCAAAACGGACATGGAAGTTTTACATGTGGAGAGGTAACGGCCATACCCGTGCAAGTCCTCGTTACTTCCACCAAGTCGGCGGTTCTAGACTCCTGGACCAAGTCACCGGAACCACAGAGAAGCATCTCAAACCTTCGCAGAGCAAGTCGATTTGGAGTGCTGGAGGGGTGGCACTACTT